TATGAAAAAAATATATCTATATATGTTAAAAACAAACAAACAGATAGGGCCTGACTGCTGTGCTGCTTTTCTGTAAGGATGGATGTAGCTGGGTGACTGTTGCAAAAAGGGTCTCTGTTGGTGTTTAGGATGTGGGTTGAGCTGTGATTTGGGAGTCCCTACAACCTTTCCAAGACATGTTAAATCTGCTGAGGAGCCACAGAGCTGCCCACCATCATATTCCTTGCTTTAAAGCCCAGTTCTGTACGCCCCTTTGTTCAGACACCACTGAGAGACATTGGGTGTCTTCATCACCTAAGGCCACTGGGTCAGCATATCTGTTAGTGGCTGTAGGCCTCCCAGCTGGGCCCTGTGTTGGAGTCACTTCTGTGCAGCTGTGTTTTTGGAAGTGAGAAGGTGCATGGAGGCCCTTCATTCTGGGGGAATGAGGATAGATGCATGCAGGTGGGGCCTGTCCAGAGGGTACCCCGGGGTACATCCTCACCACACCCCTCTTCCTGCACTAGGATCGTGGACATATCCCCCAGTGGTTCCTTGAGGAGCTGTTGGGGGACAGCATGGCCCTCGAGGCTGAACAGGTCCAGAGGATGAACCAGCACACCCACCTGAGCTGGGAGCTGGAGCAGCTGTCAGAGGGTAGGCAGCAGCCCCTGGTGCCTGGGAGCCAGCCTGGCTGCGGCTTCTCCCTCACCCAGGGAGCTGAGCACTTGGCTCTGAAACTCATGTGTCAGCCCTTCCTCTACCCAAGTAAATAGGGTTTTATTCAAGGGCCATTTGGAACTGTTTCATTGCAATTCTCCCCAAGAACATGAAGGGCCTGGCAGCCTTGAAGTCGGACATGAACTACAAAGTTAAGTGTTGCCAGATTTCTCAGCTCCTATGCGGACAGTCCCAGGAGCTTCCAGATGGCAACACGCTGACACCCAGATCTGTTCGTGGGCGATTGAAAGCTCTGGATGGCAGGAGGCTTCCCCAGTGGTCACTAACCTCCATTATAACAGTACCCTGGGCATGATTTCCTCCGTTCATTTCTTAATCGGGCAGATGACTGCAGTCTGTTCTCTGTCTCCCTAGGAAGGGGCTACTAAGTGCCATCTACTAAGTGCCATCTTCTCCCGAAGAACCTAGCCAGGGATGGCAAGTACTAGGCACAAGCCCCCCAGAGCCTCTATCACCGCAGACATACCGGTCAATTATTGTGCCCCCCATATACTCAGCTGAGAGCCCCAAGCCTCCTCGCTCTGAGGACTGGCACAGACAACACCATCTCTTTGCCACCTCTGTGAGTCTCTGAAATCCTTGACTTGACAGTCAAGTTAGAACTTGGCAAAAAGTGGGAAGTTCTAGCAGTTCCACCATCTTGAACTTTTGCATTGGCTTCTCTCTGCCATCACCTGCTTTCTTCTTAAGCTCTGCTTGCTCCCCTAACAAACCCAGCTGAGCCAGCAGAGGGGCCATAACCCATAGCAACTGTACCCTGTGAACAATGGAGGGCACCCAGCTGACCATCCCCGGCCCCTCAAACCTAGGGCTCGGGGTGATGGCTGTTTCAGGGATGGGGGCAGAGAGTGGAAGAGGAGGCCCTGGAATCTGGGCTCTGACTCCACTTTGCTCTGCAGCCTCCAGCCAGATCCTGGAGTTGGAGAAAGAAAACCACACAACCAGGCCACAGAGCAGAAGCTGTGGGAGAGCAACGTCAAGTGCAGAGAGCTGCAGAAGGAGACCCAGCAGCTCCAGAAGCAGGTAGTGGTGGTGTCCAGAACACACGGGCAAGCCGGTCACCAGGTGTCCCGTGCAGTGACAGGTGTGGGGTTTGCTTTAAAGCAAACTTCACTTTGTGAACTGACTGGCGGGGCTGGGTCTTAGGCTCTGCAGGTAGAAGAGTTGGAGATGCAAATGCAGCAGCAAAAGGCCAAGAGCCAGCACTTGGAGACCCTCAGTGAAGAGCTGGAGGAAGACCTAGAGCAGCTGCTCAACATTGTACACACCCTGAAGGTGCACAAAGTCCCGCAGGTAGGCCCTCCAGAGCGCATGCCCCCCTGGCGCCACGGCCTGCAAGAGGGAGTGTTCAGGATCACAGCTGTTTCCTGGTCATTGATCAGTGATTCCTGGATGACCAGTTTCCTTGCTCAGCTGCAGCTCAGACCAGCAATTCTCAGCAGTGGCAGGGGAACGGGGGCAGTTATTGCCTTCCAGGGACACTGGCAATCTTGTTTTTGATTGACAGGACTTGAAGGAGAAGGGAGGTGCTGCTGGCTGTGCTGGGTGGGTGGTTGTTCCTGGAAATATCAGGGTAAATTGGTTGATAGTGTTGTTCAGATATTCATAGTGATGTTCTAGGTACTTTTCTTAAAATAGGCTTTTAAAAGTGGTCAGAGAGGGTACCCAAGGAGCTTATCCAGAGAAAGGGCATAAATTGCCAAGAAAGGTCACATGTGCAGAGAGGGGCCCAGGACTCCGTTTAGCGCCATGTGATAGTCCCTTTATGTCGTGGGCTGTCCCAGCACAGTTCCTTAATTCCTGAAGGAACTGTCCTCAGCACGGCTGGGTGCTGCCTCTCCTGAGGGTCCTGCTGTTTTGGTGTGGACACTTGGCCTGCTCTTGGCCCCTCACTGTGTGTGGGGGTGCAGGGATGTGTAGTCTCTGGCTCCCTGTGGCCTGCACCCAGTGAGGCATCATCACCTTTTCCCTCTTGGCAGGTGGAACCTTCCATTCTGGCCTCTGAGATCCAGCAGGGCCTCCAAGGAGAGGGAGCTTGAGGAGCTGGGAGAGCAGCAGAGCAGCTGACCTAAGTCCAGGAGTCCCTGCTGCAGGACAACGCCTGCCTGGGGTGCCCCTTGATCACCTGTTGGGGCAGGACAAGGCCCTCATGGATGAGCACAGCTGCTCCAAAATGCTGTTGTGTGAGTCCCTAGAGATGGAGAGCAAGGCGGACAGACTTATGTGCATGCCGGCAACTGACGGAGTGACTGGCGGGCTCCCCAGGGCTCCTGCCCCACTTTCACCCTGGCTTCTCATGTTTCCCCAGTACCCACTGCTTCACAGGGACTGGAATGGACCCTGGGGACACGTCGGGTGGGAGGTGCGGGACTTGGCTCTGGGGCTGGAGGAGACCCTTGCCCATCCCCGCTGAGGAAGGTCTTGACCAGGCCCTGCAGCAGGAGCAGGAGTCCAAGGCCCTGGCCGCCCAAGAGAACGAGAACCTTTGGAAGGAGGTAGACAGGTAACCGCCATAGCCCTTGCAGCAGCATATGCGGGATTTCATTCAGACCAACTCACTCAGCATTCGCTGAGCTCAGCTCAAGTACCCCCTGGTAATGGGGTACTTTTACCAACCCCAGCATGGTAACAGCTGGATGGTCACAAGGTAAAGGGACTCTAGCTGATGACTGGGATGGAAGGACTAGTGACAACTAGGATGGAACATTGTCTGGGTTTGAATAACTGCCCCTCCCACACTGACGATGGTGATAACTATCAGGTAAAGGCACCTTCATCCTCTGACACCAGTGATCCTGGGAAGGACATATGCTCGCTTCAAGTCATTCACACATTCCCTATCGGTGAATTCACCTCCTTGCTGAAATGCACTGGTGACCCCCAAATCGGTACTTTCATGGGTCAGTCCAGAGTGCGAGATGCGGGAGTTGCCTGATGTGCACATTTGCAGCAGAGGTTGAACAAGGCCTTTGACCCCAGACTTGTTTCAGCTCTCATCTACTGCAAATGAGCATCCCTTTTGTGGTCATTGAGTGCCATGGAGCTTTATTTTCATGCTCTTTGGTGGCGATTTCGCTGTTTTGAAATGGCCCCCAAATGGAGTGCTGAAGTGCTGTCTAGTGTTCCCAAGTGCAAGGCTACGCTGGGCCTCACGGGGAATATTCGAGTGGCACACAAGGGTCATTCGGGCCCAGGTATGGTGCTGTTGGCTCTGAGTGTATTACACGAGGCGTCTTTATGTCTTGATGAGCTGACAAAATGTGTCCAGAGACTCCCAGGAACCGGTGGGAACAGTTTCAGTACTCACTAATTCAGGGTTGGAGGTGGTTTGATAGGGCATTATATTGCAAATCATAAGAATTGACTGAGCTATTATCCGTTTTTTTCAAACAGAAGAGGAAACAGGCTCAGGGAGATTAAACAACTTGTTCAAGGTCAATGCTCCTAGTTAGTGACACAGGCAGGATTCAAATCCAGGTCTTGCCTCAACCCAGAGGTGTGACCACATGAAGCCTTCCTTCCCACAGCCTTGTTTTACTGTGTACTGGGGGGCTGCAAACTCAGGTACCTGTGGTGGCCAGGCAGGTCCAGCAGGTGTAGAGAGGAGTGTCAGCGATAGAGCAAGCCCTCGTGGAGAATACACACCCTCTGAAGAGCTGTCAGCTGGGAGGCAGGCCCTGGCTGCCAGGTCATCCTTTTGTTTAAGCTTTTTTTTTTTTTTAATATAAAAACACACTCACTTTATTTTAGAAAAGTATAGACCAAAGGAGTCAGTTTATCATAAACTGGCCTGTTATGATTCACAGAATTCACAGGAAGCAAGTTCCGGAGTCCAGGTGCCTGCCTCTGCTTCGCCAAACTGGCCGGAGTCCAATAGGGGATGTGATTCAGGAGGACTGCTCCTGGGAGAGCAGGAGGTCAGCGACAGAGGCCATTCCCATGTTCATGCCCAGTGACCCTCGGCCTGGGGGTGAACACAGAGTGGGGTGGATGAGGACAACCCACTTCTCATCTGTTTGTTCATTTCACTGCCTGGAGGTGACTTCTTTTTCCTAATATTCCAATCGGAGGGTTTGAATCCCCTCCAGCTCCACCCTAATCCACCCCATCTCCCTGGGCACCAGCCGTGGTGGCATCTCTTCCTCTTGCCCCTGAGCCAGAATCTGCAGGAGTCCGGAACTGCCTCCAATGCGAGGGCTTGGGAGGCCGGACAGGAGGCGAGTCCAGGCAGGGACTCTAGTGGTTGGTTTACTGAATTCTTGCTTGCTGTCCTGATCTCTTTACCTGGTAGGTCCTGGGGCTGCAGCTTTCCGGGGGGTGCTGCAGATGGCTGCGAGTGGCACCAGGAAGATTTGGTCGCTGGGAAACAGGAACTCTGTGCCCTGCAGCACCTGGTCTTGGAAGTCCTTTCCGAGTTGACACTGAATCTGAAGCTAGGGCACCTCTGCTGGGTGGTACACTCCGGCTGCTGAGTGGCACTCGGCTAACAGGCTTGGGGATGGCTGAGGGGACAGGTAGTCGACTGGAAGGTTTAGCAGCTGCTCCCTGTGGCCGAGACAGGCGCTGACAGTTGCTGGTAGAAGGCTGTGGGGCCAAGACCAGTCTGACCGGGACTGGCGGGCTTGCTGTTGCTCTCCCACTGGGCCCAGCTTTCCCCCGGGGTTGGGGAGTTGATTGGGTTGGAGGAGTTGATCGGGCAAGAGGAGAAGATGCTGGGCTTTTGGATGTGGGGAACAGATTGCAAGTGGGCGACTCCCTCTTCACGCTGGAGGGCTTCTTTCCAGATGCTGCCCGAAGAGCCCTGACGGACCCCTTCCTACCGCTGCCCCGGATTCGGGGTGTCAGGCTGCTTGGAGAGGGGGTGCTCCGAGCGGAAGAGCTCACAGTGGGCAGCAGGTCACGGACAGGACTGTTCTTCAGCACAAAGGTCTCCCTCCGAGGCATTGGCTTCACCCTGCGCGGCCCCGGGCTCCCGCCTGCCCTCTCGCGCTCCTGCAGGGCGCACTGCTCCAGCTGCGCCGCCAGCCTGTTGGCCTCATCGAGGACCTCCTCCATCTTCGCTGGGCTGAGGCGGCCTAAGCTGAACCTCATGCCCTGGGGGGTGGGGGCCACTGCATTTAGGTCACCCTGGTGGGGGAGGCCTCTCGGAAGGGGTTTCTCTGGAGTTGCCAACACTGGTATGTCTTCCTCCTCACGACTGTCCGATGGTGACAGTCCTCCGAAGTCCAAGGTCTCATCCACTATAAATTTTACATCTTCCTGCAAATCGCCCATGTTCCAGCCTGCAGGAGCAGCACTCAGCTTGGACCACAAGTTCTCACTTCCCGCCCCCCCCCCCCCGCCCCCCCCCCCCCCCCCCCTCCCCAGCTTTTTTTTTTTTTTTTTTAATCCTTACCCCAGGATAATTTTTCCAATGACCTTTACAGAGAGTAAAAGGGAGGGAGTAGGCGAGAGAGAAATATCAATGCGAGAGAGATTTTGGATACCTACAGCACACACCCCTACCATGCCCGGGAGCAATCCCACAACCCAGATACACGCCCTTTACTGGGAATTGAACCCATGACCCTTTCATACAAGGGCTGACACTGTAACTGCTGAGCCACACCTGCCAGGGCCTTCTGTTTATGCTTCTCCTCACCCTCCGAGAAGCTAGATAGCTGAATGTTGATGTGAAACTTAAACATTTAAAAATACTCATTAACTAATGAATTTAATTTAAAAACAACTGTGTAGGCCAAACAGGGCACATCTGTGTTCAAATTGAGTCCATGAGACTCTGGTCATTTGAAATTTCTGGTATAAATCTTCACCCCGGAAACACAGTCGGGTAATTATTATTATGATGATTTCAGTGGCTATACATAATACTCCAGACTCTCATATTTTACTTGTCTCAGAAGTTGAAATTAGAGACTTGCAATTGGGGAGAAGAGCTGGGCACAGACATAGATTTTTAGAGAAAAAATGTTCTGATTCCATGTTTTTCAAAAGTGTTTCAGTCGAAGAACGCTTTTTCCAAGGAGGCAGATATGCAAAGCCTTACATGGAAAGGATTTTCATAGGATGCGCTGTTGAAGTGTTTTCTGAGCCTGCCTGTCCTGTCTCCCCCAGGCCACAGTGGGGCAGCTGGGGTAGCCTCATAGAACCCCAATGGACACAGTTTGAAAACCGCTGATTTTGTTCATCCCTAATTTACCCATGGGAAAACCTGAGGCCCAGAGAGGTTGTGGATTTGATTAAAGTGCACACCTGGGAGAGAGGCTGGGCGTGCTCCTCAGCCCTGGGCCATGTGGCTCTCCACCCCCAGGCTCACTTCCTGGAACCAGCAGCTGAAGTGGGAGCAGGAGCAGCTGCGCATCCAGAGCCAGGAGCTGCAGGCTCCCTAGAGAACCTGCAGGAGGAGCTGGAGCTCTGGCAGGTCCGGTACCACTGCCTGAAGGCGGAGCAATTGCCCATGGAAATCTCGCTGGCAAAGCTGGGTATCCAGTGCCAGGTGAGACCTGGAGCTGTTGGGCCTCAGGACACCAGGTATGTGCCCTGGGCTGACAGCCTGGGGCTCTCAGCCAGGTCAGAAAGCGTCCTCAATGGCATCTGTGCTCAAAGACTGGGTGTGAATGTCACACAGAGGCCTAGAGGAAGCCAGAGGCATTTGATGGGGACAAGCTTGTTGGCTGGTGGGATGTGCACCACCAGGGTCAGGTGGTGCATGGAAACAGCCAAGTGCCATTTTATTTGCGTCCTCTCGGCTGAGCACTTTGCTCTGTGCTCCCCCATGTCATCTCATTTAATTCTCGCAATGATTTTGCGAGCTGGGGTACCCATCCTCATCCCTATTAAGTAGTGGGTCTGACCCAGTTTGTTTGAAGCCAAAGCTTGGAACTTTCCTGCCACACCAATCGGACGATATTCTACAGCAGGAGTTGTTTTTATATGTCTGTGAAACAAGAATACTTTCTAAAAATATGGTGTGTGTTTTTTTAAATCTTACTGATATCAGCAAGAAGAAGGGAGAGGGAGAGAGGGATGGAAACATCAATGATGAGAATCTTTTTCTTTTTTTTAATATATTTTATTGATTTTTTACAGAGAGGAAGGGAGAGGGATAGAGAGCTAGAAACATCGATGAGAAACATCGACAAGCTGCCTCCTGCACACCTCCCACTGGGGATGTGCCCGAAACCAAGGTACATGCCCTTGACTGGAATCGAACCCGGGACCTCTCAGTCCGCAGGTCGACACTCTATCCACTGAGCCAAACCGGTTTGGTGAGAGAGAATCTTTGATGGGCTGCCTCCTGCACGCCACCTACTGGGTGTGGACCCCACACCCTGGGCATGTTCCTTGACCAGGAATCTCACCAGCAACCTCTTGCTGCATGGGAGGAGGCTCCACCAACTGAGCCACACGCACCGGGCAGCTTATTAATGAGATATTTTACATTCTTTTTTGAATCATATGTTAAGTCCTCAGAACCTATTATATATTTTGCACTTATGGCTCATCTCAGCTCAGACTGGCTGTGTTTTCAGTGCTCAGTGGCCACATGTGGGAGGTGGCTGCCTGATTGGCTGGTGCACTTGGCCATCCCCATGTCATTGGCTGTGTTGGTCCTTCCGACTGGTGTAGATCATACCGAAATGGCCATCTTTGTGCACGTGGCCTTTTTCTTCTTTTGGAAACAGATCCCCAGCAGTGGAGTCACAAGGGCATGTGGTGTTTGAGACATTGTTGATCTGTGTTTTAAGTGCTCACCCGTGTGAGGAAGGACTTGGAGGAAGAGAAACATCACCTCAGGAGCCAGATCAAGACATTGGTGGAGCAGAACTGGAGCTCTCTAGAAGATAGTGTGGGGAACAGGACTCAGCACCTGTAATGGGTGTGGACTGACTGACACCTGTCCACAAAGGGCTCCCTCCTGGCTTCCAGCTCCTCCATGCCTAACCCTCGACATTCTGGGCACTGGTGTCCCAGGGGCAAGGAGACAGGCCATCTTCCCAGCTCATCCTTCTCTTGTTTCCCTGGAATGGTTCTAGATTTCTGCAAATAGGGGTGGTTGGCTTTGTTGGCTTTTCAGAGACACTGCCCCCTGCCAGACGCTTCTTAATCTGCTTTTGGAATTTAGTTCAGTTTAAAAAATATGACAGAGGTACAGGAGGTACCTAGGGAAAGAATTCAGATCGGGGACTGAGCCCTTTCTGTGTCTGATTTCCTCTTAATGGACGGGAGAGCTGGTTGTTGGTGAGCCGTGGTTGTGCTCCCTCTGTGGACAACCTTGTGGCCAGGAACCAGGACAGGTGATGGTAGGTGAGAAGAGCTGTGTGCACACCAGGCAGACATTGGGGAGCTCCATGGAGGCATAGAAGGAAGCGTGGTGGTGGGAATGGGGGTTCTGTTGTTGACCGGGATAGGGACAGGGCTTGACAGTAGGGTAGGAGGTAGGGGGGACATGAAGGTGGAGCACAGCGTGGTCTGGATGCAGGGAAGGTGCAAGCAATGGCAGAAGGGAAGGCTGGAGCAGGTGGCGCTCAGCTGTGGAAGGCGTCCATACCCCGCTAAGGAGTCGGATTCCCTGGGAGTGAGTGTTTAAGGAATGCTGGTCTAGAGGGCAAGGGAGCTGCCAGAAATGAGGGCAGGAGGAAGAGCCTTGGTGCTGGAAACCTTGTGGTTTGGAAGTCAAGTCATCTGAGATGCATCTTGTGGGTCCAGGGTGGTCTTCACCCCTCGGTGCTGTGCTGCTGGGACTGTCCTTCCTTGTGATGGGGAATGGCTGACCATGAGGGATCGAGGGATATGGTCACAGTGACCACAGGGTCACTGTCCCAGGACCCCAGGGTCATGATGCTGCTTTACTATTTCCTGGATTCTTCTGCTCATCTATAGGTGACTTGCTACTTACCAAGGATGGACACTGTAGTTTTGTGGCCTGAAGTTGGCTCTCTGTAACGCAGTGGGTAAAAATGACCAACAAACGTTGGGCAGGTGCCAACTAGAAAATTAGGGGCCTGGTACCCTGGGGGGTCATCTGATGATGGTTTTGCATTAGGCAGTGTCTGCAGGAGGCCAGAGAGTTGGCAGGCTTCCTGAGCCTTCCCTGAGCGGAGTCTTCCCCATGACATGGGTGCCTGCCCTCTGAGCTGTGTGCCTAGGGGTGGGGGTTTGGTCAGAGCCAGTTATAAAAGTGCTCTAACGTAAGGCAAGCAGCACAGTGTGGGAAGAGAAGAACACAGACTAGAAGAACAGATGCTGAGCCAAGGGTGCTGGGAACAGAGCAGGGTCCGTGTCAGGGGCCCAAGGGTTTGTGAGCCATCACTTTTCACGGGCTGCTCACTTCACGGTGAACTCTCAGAAAAGCCCTCGTATTAGGTGTGACCTTGGCAGCCTCATGGCCAAAGGAGCCTGAGCAGCTGCCTCGATCCAGGGGATTCATTGTCAAGCAAGGAAACCAGGGTATGAGCTGTCAAGACCCACGGGTTTCTGAACCTGAGGTTCACATGGTTCGGGGTTTGCTCTCCTGATTCTCGGCACTTCAGCAGGTCTCCTCGGCGTGTTAGGGGTCCTGGACCCACGCCACATGTTTCCATCCCCATATTCCCACCTCTGTAATCATGACGGTCATGAGCACCGTGATGTCTGAGTCCCATGAAAATGCCAGCTTTTCTCGACCAGGTCCCAGCCTGGACTGATGAATCCACTTACATGTTTTATTTTAAAAACCAGATTTTTTTTTCTTTTTTCTGTTTACAGAGACAATTTCAAGGCCTTATATACAATAACAGAGGAAGTGGAGGAAATAATCACGTACCATACCAGTCCCAGCACCCTGCTCCCAAGACATGAGTAAAACACAGGACAGAAAGCTTGCTTTTTCACGAGTGGGGGAAGCTGTAGCCATCTAGAGCAGTGGCCAGTTTGTTGGGCCCGTACCTTCCGCTGTATGGCAGGTCCCTGTGTGCATGTCTCTCCCAGCATGGAAAGAATTTAGAGTTTCTTTCAGTCCCACCCTCAGTTCTCAGGGTTATCCTATGAGGGATTGTGAATGCCAGCTGGCCATGAGCCTGTTTAAGGGTCAGAGAGTCTGTGGTTTAGAGCCACTAAAGCAGGACTATCAGGTTGTGTCTCAAGATTGCCGGACCTAGAAAATCATGCTTCTGTTTTGGGAAGGAAGCTTGGGGCAGATGCCTGGACCGGCACCCATGGTCTTCAATCACAGGAACCTCTTGGTTTTACCTACATTCCTCTGGAGTCACTGGACCCCGCCAGGGCAGGTTCACAAACACGTTCCCTTC